GGGATATTTTGTAACGAGTCATTTCTTTATGTAGGTGAATTTTATATAGTTCCTTGCAAGTCCTATGAATTTTTTGTTGATGGATGGTAGAATAGGAATAGACGTAGGAATTCACACGTTTTAGATTACGTGTATCTAGGCTTTTTTTCAAGGTGCTTGGGCCCCCAATTTATGCTCACGTATACGCCCGGGTGCCCGGCTGGGCATTACCCCTGGGCAGGATTCGGGGTAGCACCAGTGCCCCTAAAGAAAAAATAATCAAAAAAAAAAATTGAAAACAATATATGTTGTGTGAAATTTCAATACAAATGACTTGTGGCTAAGGGTAAAATTAGGATTCCTCACAGAATCGAAGATAAAAAATAAAATAACATAATCACACTAAGGCACCCCCCTTAAACCCCTTTAGCCTCTTTAAAACCAATTTATACCCTCTTATACCCTCTTGATAGCCAACTCGCAAAAAACGAAATGAAGTCGGGTCTGACGTTCTCTGGGAGAGCGCAGAAAAAAATATATGTATATAATTATATATATAAATATTATTGTATTCTATTTTTTGCACACCCAGTATTGGGAATGGCGGTCCCATACCCTGCGACGAGCGTAGGATCTCACGGTCATGTCACGCAAAATTAAGATATTGTTTTTGAGTCATCGAAGATACCACTTTGACCGTGCGTGTCAGCTATACCTCTTTCGGCTTCTTGCGACAAAGGGAGCTCTGCGAGGTACAACTGAACTCTACCTGAGAGGTTGTCACCAGACTCACCACCCCGAGGTAGGCGTATCCCTGCTGAGTTACTGACCCACGTACGAAAGTTTTCACTTGGAATCGCAAAGGTAAGTTAGCCTAGGGTGTTTACTCGATCGCCGTAGCATAGACATATGCGCGGTTGAATGCCTAAAATTGACTTTTATACATTTCGGGCATCGAGGCCCTGATCTCCTAGACCGACTTACAATTCACGTCGACTTGATTGATGATCTTTCACGCGTACAGCGTTTTAATCTATTTGCACTTAGCCTATAAATTTTATAAGCTATATAATTTTTTTCAAATCGATATAAATATAATGAATACACTTTAAAGGTTGAGACTGAAAGACAAAGAGTTGTTTTTATATTTTTACACTAGGCTACCAGCCGGGCCGCCTGGGTCCCAGGTGGCCAGCCCGTGCAAGGACAAAGGAGGGTCCCAAAAAAAAAAAAAAAAAAATCGAAAAAATCCGAAAAAAAACTATGTTATGCGAAAACATAAACTGAACAACTTTTGCCTCAGGGTCACATCAAAACTCTTAACCAAATTTAAAATATAAAATAAAAATTTAAAATATTTATTATTTTCTTTATTTTTTAAATCTTTTTGGCCCGACCGGGCAAGTGACCCCGGGCCACTTTGGTAGCCTAGTTTTTACACAAATAAAGACAAACATTAGAATGGACGAAGTTTTTGATTTTTGGAAGAGAAACAAACAATAGGCTTTTGGCCTTGCAAACATACATCAGAAATAAAGATAGGCTCATGGCCTTTAAAACATGCATCAAAAATAAACGTTGGCGTATGACTTTTCAAAGAATATGACATGAACAAGGCTCTTGGCCTTTGCCAATCATCCTAATATGCTTCTCATCAAGAAAGAGTGAAGTTTGAAATCCAAACCAAATGTTCAAAGATTACGGTCGATGAAGTGCCTGAGTCAAGGCTCAGGTAACCATAAGTTTGTCAATGTGTGTTTCGTGAATAACGCATTGTTGGTCGTTTTACTCAAATGCAAATAAAATGAAATGTATTGCACATTTTTAACAAAATCAACCATTTATTCACTTTGACTCACATTACATTTACATTTTCAAAACCCCTCAGCTAGACATGGTCTTTTCGAGTTAGTCATTAAGTCTCATTTGATTTCAGTCATTCAAGGACCCTTTTTGACCAAACACAGACCCTTTTGACGATAAACCGAAAACCAGAAATACCTTTTAGTGCAGAGGTTGACGCAAAGTGTGGGTGTCGAGGGTGGAAGCCTGCCACGACCACTCGCACTACCAGTCCGTCTCCTGGCCGCGACCGCACCCTTCCCACCTTTCCCGAAAGCCCAAAAACACCCCGCCGAACCTCGATTACAGTCCACGACATTTTCCGAAAAAGAAAACCGACCCTTACAACCCTGGTAAGCGCAGCCTCTGGCTGCGAACAGTTACGGGCCTGTCTAGTTAGGACAACTTCCCCTCGGTCGCACGACTTCTTCGCAGCCGTGGATTCCGGCCATCTACGACGCACATTTTTTGACACCCTTGACCATTCCCCTCGGTCGCATGACTTCTTCGCAGCCCTGGATTCCGGACATCTACGACGCGCATTTTTTGGCACCCTGAACCATTCCCCTCGGTCGCACGACTTCTTCGCAGCCCTCGATTCCGGACACATCTACGACGTTTGACAGACGCGCATTTTTTGACACCCTCGATAGGCTAGGGTCTCAGCAGTTGGACTTCAGCACCAGATCATCATCAGAGGCTGCGCGGTATTTTGTTGTCTGCAGGTACCCAGAAGAATCCGGTCCAAGTGGGACATGTTAGAAATCTGCAACTGAACAGCATCAAGGCCATTGGCTTCAAAATGATCTGGGTCCTTGACCTAAGGAGACTAGAGGCTGGCCAACACGAGTCAAAAGTATAAGTGGACACATCCCCTGCTTGGAGGCATGCAGTCTTGTGCAGTCTGCCACGCTTGGGCTTGATGCTGGTGCGACGCCGGAAGGCTGGTTGGGGAAGCTGCGGGCGCCAGATAGTGAGTGCAGGCCCCAGCCTGGAAGGTGATAGCCACATTGAGTTCGGTACTGAATGGAGTGTGTAGGCGAGGAGGAGGAGGATCTGGACTGTAGGATTGGCATGAGTGATGAGGAGAAGCTTACCTGGAGGTACCTTTGATGACAGGTGTGCTTGCTTCTCGTCTCCAAGAGGAAGATCTTTCCCATACTCCTTGAGGCCCTTGAGGGTAACTATGCTGACGTGACTGGACAATGAGCGCCTTGTTGTGACCTGTTTGGAGTGTATGTCATAGATCGTCAGGGGAGAACTGCATTACTGACGTGGCGTTTGGGAAAGGAAATGCTCGTAGAGGAAGGGGGCATGAGAGGGAATTCTGCTTCATTGATTCATGGGGACACTCTATTCCTCCTCCTCCTCCTCCTCCTCCTCTGTCTGTACTTGGCACAACTTCCGGTCCAGATGCGGCGATAATGACCGGGCGCTCTATTCGGGTGAAGACGGTAGGCACACACACGGACTGATTAAGAGAGAATAATATAGTATTAGGTTAGGGGAGAAGAAAAAGGTAAAAAGAGTACGTGGAGTCGTATATTGTCTTTATGGCTCAGCATCAGAGAGAGTGGCCAGATACACCTGGTACCATTTCCACTTTTTTTTTCCCCCTCTTGGGGTGACTTCGGCGCAGTCACGAAAACAGTTTGAAATTGCACTTCAGGCAATCCCGCGAATACAACACACCCCCACGCGACCCCACCTGTCCCGAATCGTTGGTTCCATACATTCACCACTACCGGTGCAATTACAAACTCAAACCCTGACTGCGCCGTTGTTTTCTCTTTTTTTTTTTTTGTTGTAACCAATGTATCTGGCCCGTTTCTGGGTAAAGTTCTCTTGCGTTCTTTTCGCTGTTGTGAGTAATGTGGCTGTGGCCCTTAATCCGTCCAATTCGGTGGGACCTCGGGATATATTTCCCTCTAATACACGGATTCTGATTTTTTTATTTTTTTTTTCAGTTAACGATTCTGATTCTTCACCTATTCTTTCACTGTTTGCTTAGCGGCGAGGGAAGAGCTGACTCACCGAACATGGCTTGACCATGGGCCTCGCTGCACTACTCTCGAAATGTGCAAAACGAGAGTGAATCTCTCGCTAGAATATGGAAAGATACACGGCCAATATTTGTCTTTTGTGCATGTCGAGAGTAGTGCAGCGAGGCCCCATGCTTGGTATTGCATCTCGGTGGCATGTTGGTATATCTTCGGAACATCTATTTTCGGGATTGTTTCTCGCATATTTTGCCGGCAATTTCCTGACGGTTTTTTTTTTTTTTTTTCCTTCGAACGTACCTGGCGCGA